CGGCTCGCGCCCCTCTCGGGCTTTCTCGTGCGGCCAGTCTTTGCTCTTTAACCCCAGACGGCTGCTTCCCGGGGCCAGTCACCCGGGGCCAGTCACCCGCGCCCCGCGGCCGAGAGTTGGAGCTGGGGTTGGGGCGTGAGCTACTGGCGCTGCGAGGAAGTGGGGCCCGGACCCCCACCACCAGTAGTGGGGGCTCCTCATTTCCAGGCTGACATGGCTTCGGCGCCCACCCCCGAGTTTGAACCCTCTCAGGTCGGTGGTGGGACGCCGCTGAAGAGTTAGGACTTGGGGTGCAGGGGGTCCAGGAAATAGAGGTCCAGCCTTACAGGTGAGGACTTGCAGGCCCGCCATGGCCCTGTTCGCCTCAATCCCCAGACCTGGAACTGTGCCTGGAACCCCAGCCGGCACCCCCAGTCAGAGCAGGCCCTTTGCTATCCCCTTCTGGGGTCCCTTGCGCACCCCTTCCCACTCCCCCGACCCAGAGACGGAGGGACACCCACCCTGGCCTCCATTCTGATCCTGCAGCCGGTGGCCCCCACCGTAGAGAGGGTGCAAGTCTTGAGTGGGCCGCTGGTCCTGGGGCTTCCTGGGCCGTCTGGGCTCAAGATGCAGCCTCAGCCCTTTCCCCTCCACTTCTGTCCTGGGCCAGTCTTCCTGAACCCCAGGAAGGCACCGCTGTCAGAAAGGGCTGGGGAAGCCTGGGGTTTGGGGTTGCAGAATAGGGGGGGGTTGCTCGTGTGGGGTCTCCTCCCCAGAGGTGACAGGCCCCTTCTCTCCCCACCTTCAGTCACTCTGATGGACACGAGCACAGCACAGGGAGAGCTGGGTTGGCTGCTGGACCCCCCAGAGGATGGGGTAAGTGTCCGGGAGGGGTGACCCCAAAGGTGCACACTGAAGGCCAGTGGGAAATGGGGCGGAGAGGTGGGTGGAGGAACGGAAAAGAGCTGGAAAAACTGGAAGTGTCTCCTCCGGGAGGGGGAGGGGAGGTGAGTCAGAGCCTTCTGAATGGGATTGGGGGGTAGGAGGGCCAGGCTGCACCCCCTGGGGAACACTTCAATGCCCACTCCTCCCCCTGCTGGCCCCCTGCGGGAGGGCTGGAGAGAGGGCTGGAAGCCGGTGAAGGAGGCCTGGAGAGGAGCCCACACCCCACCGAGAGAAAGGGCCTTCTGGAAAGGACTGTGGGCACTCTGAGGCCTGAGACCCAAACACAGTGTGCTCACTCTGGGCCCCACCTGTAGGCTTCAGGGGTTCAGGGGACCCCATGCAAATGTATTCTAAAGTATGCATACAGGCATATATATTTTCTAGAGAGGAGACCCAACGTTTTCATCAACTTCTTCAAAGGCTTTTAGCACCCCACCCCCATGGGCCTCAGTTACAAGATGCGGGCAGAAAGGTCCCTGAAGCCAGAGCACCTCCTCTGCCTGGCCAGCCATCCCCAGCGACCCCTCTGCTTGGCCCCCCCAAGGCCCAGCCCTCCTGGTGTACTCCTGAGAGGGGCAAGCAGAGATGGCTTCTGTGCATCCCAGGGCACTTTCTGCCTGACCCCAGAGTCAGGGGAGAAGGGCGTCAGCCCCTCCTCTCTCTCCCAAGGTTCCTGTCCTCTGGCTCCCTTTTCCTCTCTTCCGCCAGCAGGAATCCCCTACTTTCCTGGGTCCAGTTCCCTTGCTTTCTTTCCGTCTAGGTCCTAAGGTCCTGTCTCCGTGCCCAGCTCTTCCGCACAGTGGCCTGTAATTAGAATTAATAGACTAAACCGTAGACATCCTACAGGAGGGGCTGCCCGCAAACTCCCGGACTAGGCTGGTCCTAGTAGGCGCTTCATCTCATAAACCTGCTAACCTGTCCACGTGAGGGCCGCGGGTCCAGCTGCTGGCTGGCTCCACCGCCGCCCGACCCAGCTCAGCCCTCCCCTGCCAGGTGCCATCAAAGGCCAGACCCTGGCGCAGCTCTGTCTGTCCTTGCACTGAGCAGAAAGGCCAGAAGGCATGTCTGTCCCACACCCGTCTACCCAGGCCTCTCTTCTCCCCGTCTATCAGAACACGCACTTTCAGGTCCAGCTTCCGTATAGGTGAATCCATGGAGGAGTCTGCCGTGCCCAGGGATGAGCTGACATCCTGGTGGTTCTTTCTCCATCTGCCCCAGCTGCAGCGGGCAGGGGCGAAACCAGCTGGGAACCTGGCATCCCTGGTTCCAGCTGCAGCCCTGGCAGCTAATGGGGCGCACATGAGCCGCCCACACCTCCCCCTGCCCGCCACCCCATGCCCCTGCTGAACAGGCTCCCGGTGCCTTCACACCCCTCTGGCCCAGTCTTTGAGCCCCCCAAAACGGTAAAACTAGGGGCCTCATAGCAGCGTAGATTCCTGCCCCTGCCCTACCCACGCCGCCCCAGTTTCTTAGTTAACGGTGTTTTGTTTTGCTCTTTTCTTGCCTTTCTCAGAGCTGAGAGTAGCCATGGGAGACCTGGGGGGAAATTAACTTTGTAAGGACTTCAGTGTCTTCTCTATAAAATAAGGATATTGTGAGCAAGCTACCAGTGGAACACTTTCTAGAATTTGAGAGCTTCTTCCTTAAAATCTTCTGGCAGAGAAAATGCTTAGGATGGCTGAGAATTTATTTCAAAAGGAAGAACAATGCAGTGGGGACTTGTCCTGCCAGGTAGCAGGCCATACCTAGCATCCACCCGAATTGAAACGTGGCCTTGCCCAAGAGCGCAGTCAGGGGACAGGATCGGACGTTCAGGAGCAAGAGCCCACACACAATGGGGCTCTCCAGTCAAGGGGGGAAGTCTGGTCAATAAATTGACCAGAAAATGTCTGCAGGTTCAGAAAAATAATGTTATTCTTCTACTTCATACTGCCCACAAAGTAATTCGAGGGAGATTAAATCTAAAGGGAAATACCAAACCCACAAAAATATTAGGAGAAAAAAATACAGGAGGTCTTTTTAAGTTTGTGATGGGACAGTTTCTCAGGCAAAATACACAGAAATCATAATGGGAAAGACTGTAAGGGTTAGCAGCTTCAAGTTTAGAATATATCCCACTGGTTTCGCTCATAGCAGGAGAATAACGGACCAGGCGAGAAAATAATAAGAATAATGAACAGCCATAGACCAGAGACACTTTGTGGCGGTGGAATGGGGAATGGGATCAAAAACGGGGGGTGGGGGGGAAATGCACGGGATTATGGTGATGGCACACGGGTGACTCGGTGATGGGAAACCCGCAGGGATTACAATTGAGATGGGGGAAAAAATGTACAGAATGATGTAAAAATAAACTATTATATTCTATTGATTAAAAAAAAAAAGAATCCCACTGGTAAAGGGGAGGACTGTGCCAGACAGGGGGAAGTGTTTGAAATGTACACTTCAAGCAAATGATTAGCGTCTGGCATGTTTTTTTGCTTTTTTTTTTTAAAGATTTATTTATTTGTTCATACAGAACTGGGGTACAAGCCAGAGGCTCAGGGGCGGTGAGAGGTTTCACCAGAGACAGAGTGGGGAGCAGAACAGGCAGATCGACGAAATACACTGCTGAAGGGAGGAGCGGGCGGGTCAGGAGAGGTCTGCCGCGCCCTGTGGTCACCTCCGGAGCAGGCTGGAATCGAACTCATGCGGAAGCGGCTTTAGCTTCTCAGTGCTGTGCTTTAACCCGCTGCGCCACCAGGGAGGGCTGTGTGTTTTTTAAAAGCTCAACCAAGAGAGACCACCCGCTTATCAGGCAATAGTTCTGAACAGGTAATTGCAAATACAAATAGCCAGTGAGCAAAAAGGAAAAAAACTTCCTCAAAGAAATGAAAATCAACATAGCGAGAAGCTGTTTTTTGTCTATAACTCCAGACAAAAAGGTCATTGACATCCAGGGCTGATGAGGTTTTGAGAAAATGTGTGCATTGCTGGTCCAAGTGTAAATTGATCGAGTCTTTTTGGAGAACAATTTGGCGATGTCTTCTCATAACACTTGTCGTTGCTGTGCCTTGGATACAGCAGTTCCACAGAAATCTTAGAGAAATCTAGGCTTAAGAAAAACCTAGAAGCTGCCTAAATGTCCCACAGTCAGTAGATAACTGAATAGGTATATCCATTCACGTGAACGCTAGTCTGTGCCTGCTAAAATGAGTTAGGTAGCTCTTTGCATACTCTGGTAAACTCCTTCCAAAGACTGTTAAAAACAAAAAGCAGCTTGTAGACTAATTTGCATGCTTTTAAATATATATATATATATATATATTAAAAGCACACAGTAAACACTCTCAGGCTTCTCTCTGGCACTGAAAATGTTCTACAACTGTTTCGTCTCAATTTGTTAAAAATGGGAATGGAGGTTGGGAGGATGAGAAGACTTTACCTTTTTATGACAGTTAGATTTTTGCTCTTTGGCCTTTTGAAATAAGCACAGAGGGATGGATGCTTAAAGCCTGAGCTCTGGTTCCTGGGTACCCAGTCACAAGTCAACCTCTCGGTGGCCTGGGCTTCCCCTGGGCCGGGCTTTCAGCAGCTGGTCGTGGGTAAACCCTGCACCAGCCCTTATTACTGCTGAGTTCATGTTTTTCTGGCGTAAGAAGAGGTTTGGGGCAGCGATGGCCTGGATGGCGCACCCCGCCCCCACCTACCCAAGACAGTACCTTTGCCGCTTGCTGATTTTGATAACCAGAGGAGCAGTGGAGAGAATGAGATTCTTTATGCCAAAGAGTCTGTGCCTGCCCTCCGGCCGCTTGGGGGGACGCGGTCTCCTCCTTGAGCAAACTGGAAGAAAGGTTTTCTTCTGAGCTTTTGCTGTGAAAGTCTGCCTTGGCAGTGCCTGACTTTCTGGAGATGCAATAGGTAAAAATCAGTGCTCAGATTCTTGCCACTGGAGTGAGCTTTGGTGGAACCAGAGCTGGCTAAGGACGTTAAGGGTGGGGGGCGGGTAAGGGGGTAACAGTGGTGCTGTTAAGGAGTCCCTAACCCTCAACACTGCACCTGCCATCCTGGGGTCAAGGGGTTGGGAGGGGAGGCCGAACAAGTAGCGCGAATCTGGGGAACACTGGCAATGGGTTTCTTATCCTCAGCTCCAGGAAATCAGGGCTTGGGGAGCCTGGGGCTGCCTGGCGCCTGATTCTGATTTCCTCTCGTAGTGGAGTGAGGTGCAGCAGATACTGAACGGGACTCCCCTGTACATGTACCAAGACTGCCCAGGGCAGGACGGCGGAGATACAGACCACTGGCTGCGCTCCAACTGGATCTACCGGGGTGAAGAGGCCTCGCGGGTGCACGTGGAGCTGCAGTTCACCGTTCGGGACTGCAAGAGCTTCCCCGGGGGGGGCGGGCCCCTGGGCTGCAAAGAGACCTTCAACCTGCTGTTCATGGAGAGTGACCAGGATGTGGGCATCCAGCTGCGACGCCCCTTGTTCCAGAAGGTGCTTCTGCCTCTCCTTCCCTTTCTGTCCTGAGGCTGATCCCTGCCTCACACCTTTCCTTCGCTCTGCTAGTGGGGAAAAAAAAAGAGCAGGGGGCAGAACCCAGAGACAGTGTAGGTGCAGGCTGATGAAAGGGAGGTGCCAGGAGGCTCAGATGAGCCGCACTTGAGGACTTTTTGCCATATCCCGGCCTTGGCTGCATCACTGACCCTCTCTGAGCCGTGGTCTCGCTGTCTTAAAATAGTGGTGACACTGGCGGTCTCGTTTCTTTAGATTTGCAAGCCTCTGTGGAGATCATGCCATGCCATGCTGGAGGCAGGCAAGAACCTTCCAGAACAGCCAAGTTGGCATGTGGCACCACCATGAATATGGCTGGAATAAAGGCCCTGTAGGCTGGCCCTCGGGTCCCATTCCCTCCTTAGGGAAGCATGCTGGAATGCAGAGAGAGGAGCGTGTTATATAAGATGTGCTCTGGTTGTTTTCCAAAAGATGCTGTAAAATTTGTTATTAGTAATAAATGAACGATGACACACTTTATAACTGATCACCTCATTGACAGTGAGGCAGGATACGCCTCCGAACAGCAGACGTTCTGTGAGCGTCCAGCTGCCTGGTTGTTCCACGGCCATCACTCGGTAGCTGTGTGACCTTGTAAGAGAGCTTCACCTCCCTGGGCCTTAATTTCCCGGTATGTTTCCTGGGGGTGGTTATTAAGCTACAGTGTAAGACGAATGCATGGCCTCACCGGCATAAAGCACATAAAATCCTTAGCTCGGTAGCTCACAGCCAGTAAGCCCCCAGGTTCCAGTTGCCTGAACTGTCGCGCATTAAGCCATCTTTCTGTAGGTGGGAGCAAAGCACATCCTCTCTCCCCCACCTTCTTCCAGGTAACCACAGTGGCTGCAGACCAGAGCTTCACCATCCGAGACCTGGCCTCGGGGGCAGTGAAACTGAACGTGGAGCAGTGCTCCTTGGGCCGCCTGACCCGCCGCGGCCTCTACCTGGCCTTCCACAACCCAGGGGCCTGCGTGGCCCTGGTGTCCGTCCGGGTGTTCTACCAACGCTGCCCGGAAACTGTGCACGGCCTGGTCTGGTTCCCCGACACGCTCCCTGGACCTGGCGGCTTGGTGGAAGTGGCGGGGACCTGTTTGCCCCATGCCCGAGCCAGCCCCAGCCCCTCGGGTACACCCCGCATGCACTGCAGCCCCGAGGGCGAGTGGCTGGTGCCCGTGGGCCGGTGCCACTGTGAGCCCGGCTACGAGGAAGGCGGCAGGCGCCAAGGCGAGGGCTGTCTGGGTAAGGACATTCCGGGAGGTGGGGACACCCTGCGGGGCCCCCTTGGGGAAGAAGGTCTCCGGCATGCCCAGGGAGGGAAGGTTTAGTCCGTGTTGAAGGATTTTTTTTTTTTCATTTTTGATATCCATGCAAATCTCCTGCAATTAAGTATGAGCATCTTTGAACACGTTAAGAGATTTCACCCTCCCCCCCAAGTTCCCGCTGCGTGGCTATCCCTCAGAAGTGCATTCCTATTTTTCTTTTGCACTCACTGGAAGCAAGTTTCATGTTTTGGGGATTTTTTAAACTGGAATGGGGAGTAAGAGCCCTAAGCTATGTGTGCTGAGGTGTTTCTGTCCAGGTTGGGGAGGGGGGCTGTGGCCCCCCAGAGGTCAGCTGTGCTCCTTCTCCCTCCAGCCTGCCCCAGCCACTCCTACCGGGCTGACGTGGACACGCCCCATTGCCTCAAGTGCCCCCAGCACAGCAGCGCTGAGTCTGAGGGGTCCACCGTTTGTACCTGTGAGAGCGGCCATTACCGAGCCCCTGGGGAGGGCCCCCAGGTGGCGTGCACGCGTGAGTCCCGGGCCCGCCCGACCTGGCCATCTGTGAGGGACCTGTGCCCAGCCCTTGCTCGGGTCTGAAGTGCCCAGAATTTATCACCGTGGGCACTGTCGGCTGTCCTGCTTAAAGCCCCTCCCCCACTCTCCCGGAAGAATGCAGAGATGTGGTCAAGTCACGTTTTCCTTAGAGGGAATCAAGTCTTTGAAGGACCTCAAGAGTTGGGGCGGCGGGAAGAGGTGAGGGGTCGGCCGCTTGGGGCAAAGCAGAGAGCCACCTGCCGATGCCCCCTCTTCTCCCACAGGCCCTCCCTCTGTCCCCCGAAACCTGAGCTTCTCTGTTTCTGGGACGCAACTCTCCCTGCGCTGGGAACCCCCGGCAGATACAGGGGGGCGCCAGGATGTCCAGTACAGTGTGGGGTGCTCACAGTGTCGGGGGGCAGCAGTGGATGGGGGGCCCTGCCAGCCCTGTGGGGGAAGCGTGCTCTTCTCCCCCGGGGCCAGCGGGCTCACGGCTCCCGCTGTGCGTGTGGACGGCCTGGAACCCTACGCCAACTACACCTTCACCGTGAAGGCCCGAAACGGAGTGTCAGGGCTGGGCCGCAGCAAGCCGGGCGGTGCCACCCTCACCATCAGCATGGGGCACGCAGGTGAGGCCGGGCACCGGGGAGGCGGGCCTGGCCTGCGGACAAAGCGGAGGGGCTCCGGCCCCCCGGCACAAATGGCTGGGCAGGAAGCACCCCACCAGCGGCGGCTGAGGTGTCTCCGCTCTCCTTCCAAATGCAACCAACCTTGGCCTCACAGAGTCCCTGTCTGGCCTCTCCCTGCGGCTGGTGAAGAAGGAGCCTCGGCAGCTGGAGCTGACCTGGGCGGGGTCCCGGCCCCGCAGCCCCGGGGGGAACCTCAGCTACGAGCTGCACGTGCTGAACCAGGTGAGGACACAGCCGACAGGTGAGGACGAGCCAAGACTCCTTGCTTGGGGTGCAGCTTGCAGGGGGAGACTCCCACAGTGAACTGTGTGGCTTCCTCGGGACAAGTCTGCAAAGAGCCCTCGCCCAGCCTGGCTGCCTTACCGCCAGTCCCCATCCGCAGGATGAAGAGCGCCACCAGATGGTCCTAGAGCCCAGGGTCTTACTGACCGAACTGCAGCCGGACACCACGTACATTGTCCGGGTCCGGACGCTGACCCCGCTGGGCCCTGGCCCTTTCTCTCCTGACCATGAGTTCCGGACCAGCCCTCCAGGTGGGTGGGCTCCCGACACAGGTGCACCTGCCGTCCACGAGGCCTCGCTGACCCGATCCAGTCAGGAGCTTTCCTCTTCCTCTGCGCACGGCGCTGTCGGGCTCACGTGCAGGCCCGCGTGCTGCACACGTGTGCTCACGCACCCACATGCATGCACAGACACAGAAGCCACCTGGGGGCGGAGCCCACACTTACACCGGGGCGCCTCCTCAGATACGCGTGTGGATGCTGGATCTTGGCCGTGTCCTAACCGCTCAGCTTATTGCTCTCCAACAGAGAGCCAGTGCTCCCCTCTCCCCAGTTAGGGGGCACATTACCCAAGGTCCCCTGGGCACAGGGCTCACCCCACGTGCCTGCAGTTTCCAGGGGACTGACCGGAGGAGAGATCGTCGCCATCATCTTTGGGGTGCTCCTTGGCGTGGCGCTGCTGCTTGGGATTCTCGTCTTCCGTTCAAGGTGCTGTTCCTCTCCACTCCCCTTCTGTCCACCCTCCTGGGTCCCTCTGCCCGGTCAGGAGTCCCTGTATACAGCCCCAAGACCCCCTAACCCCCAGTGCCAAGTGCCAGCGTGTCCCCACACCAACCCTGTACCCCCATCCCCACAAAGAGTTGCTGGGGAAAACTTAGCCTGAGTCCACTGGGCTCCTGAGGTGATCCTGGACCCTGAAGAAGCTGCCCCCAAACTCCACAGGAAAGGACAGCAGCGACGGCAGCCGAGGCAGCGGGACCGAGTCGCTGACGTGGACCGGGGTAAGCAGGAGCGTGCGTGTCTGTGTGTGTCGGGGTGCCTGGGTGGGACAAGAGACTCGCTTTTGCTAGAACAACTCTGGGGCGTGGGTGGGCTTTAGCATCTCTAGGGCGCCTGTGTTCTGCTACCTAATTAACTTTGGCTAATTAACTTTGTACTGACAGCCCTCCAGAGGCACAGTACCATCACCTATTAGCTGATGGGCCCCCCGGACCCCGGCTGGGCTCTGTCTGGGTCTCCGAGCCCCTCCGGGCTGGTCAGGTCTGTGGACTGAGGCTGGGTGGGATGGAGATAGGCCTAGTCTCCCTAACATCCTCCCAGGCCTGTGGGGTGCCTGTCAGCCACCTCATCAGGGCCCCCTGGACCCCAGCTGGGCTCTGGGTCTCCGAGCCCCTCCGGGCTGGTCAGGTCTGTGGGCTGAGGCTGGGTGGGATGGAGATAGGCCGAGTCTCCCTAACATCCTCCCAGGCCTGTGGGGTGCCTGTCAGCCACCTCATCAGGGCCCCCTGGACCCCAGCTGGGCTCTGGGTCTCCGAGTCCCTCCGGGCTGGTCAGGTCTGTGGGCTGAGGCTGGGTGGGATGGAGATAGGCCAAGTCTCCCTAACATCCTCCCAGGCCTGTGGGGTGCCTGTCAGCCACCTCATCGGGTGCCCGCACCAGGGGATCAGATGTGTCTGAGCCGCAGCGGGAGGCGCTGGTCTAGGAATGTGAATGAGGTGTGCAGGAGTGCAGAGCTATGGCGGGGTGCAGAGGAAAGGCAAGGAATTTGAAGCAGGTCAAGAGCCACAGGAGATTGGGAAACTCGAGGCATGGACACTATTTTGGGTCTGGTCCCTGGCTCCTTGCCTCAGCCTTTGGGGGTGAGGACATAGGGGCTTCGCTCAGGGATGGAGGAAAAACAGCTGGGATGTGGAGACTTTGATGCTCGGCCCAAACCAGAGTCCTCCTGTTACAGGACACCCCACTGTAAACTGGGCCGCCTGTCTGTGGGGCCTCACCCGTGCTTAAGATTCAGTTGTCCTGCAGGCGCAACAAAAGAGTCAATAATGGGTTTATTTACAAAAGGGGAAAGGAAAGGAACAACCCAGGGAAAGAGAGAGATATAAGGTAACTAAACATCCTACCAGTTCAGCTGACTAGAACCCCACTATCACATTGGAAGCTCATCAAGAGCCAAGCAACCAACCACCAGCCATGGGGTCTAGAGAGAGAGGGTCAACATGGCTCCTTTATATAACCGCAAAAGTCCCAGAATGCCTGGTTAGCTCCACCCTTGGGTCCTCACAGTTCTCTCCCTAGTACTGCTGGGAGTTGTAGTTTCAATAACCTGAGTAGGGGGTGGAGGCCACAGAACCGGAGTTGGGGGTAAAGTCCACAAAACTCTGCAGAGTTCCTTCAGGACGCCCCCCCCCTCCCCTCAGCCCCCAATACTCCAGGGCCCTGACATGAGTATTCGTGTGACCCCTGCAGAGGACAAGCTGTGGCTGAAGCCGTACGTGGACCTGCAGGCTTACGAGGACCCTGCCCAGGGAGCCCTGGACTTCACCCAGGAGCTTGACCCAGGCTGGCTGATCGTGGACACGGTCATAGGGGAAGGTGAGTCTGCCGCTCCCAGGTGGGGCTCACAGCTGCCAGCCCACACCTCCCAGGAGCCCAGCTGGCCTCTTCTGTGGCCACTCCCCCCTTTCCCCATACTGGCCTGGCACTGCAGGGTGCATGGTACAACCCCCACCAGGGGTACTGGGGGGCCCCAAGCAGGACAGCCTGTTCCAGTGCTTGTGTTTCTGGCTCAGACTTACACATGGTTCCCAAACATCCGAGAGATTTGGAACCTCCCTTGCCCCACATTCCACCCCATCAGGGGCCCAGTGTCCCTGGGCTGCCCTGATCCCTTGGGTCACCAGAGGAACAGGATCCCAGCAGAGAACAAAGCCAGGCAGTGTCCTTGCCGATTACGCAGCCCTGGCCGCCAAGCCGTGCCTGGGGGAGCTCAGGGAAGACAGGTGGCCATGGCCGCCTGCCCGGCTGCCCAGGCGGGTCCCGCTGACCCCTGTGCACCTGGGCCCGGCCCCTCGGAAGTGCAGCGGAGTCCCTGTCACCTGAACAAGCACCCTGCGCTTCCAGCAGGGACGCGGAGACGGGAGGATAGTGCTGCCCGTGTATCATGTCCTGTTCTGTCGCGCAGGAGAGTTTGGGGAAGTGTATCGAGGGACGCTGAGAATCCCCAACCAGGACTACATGACCGTGGCCATCAAGACCCTGAAAGACACGTCTCCAGACGGCCAGTGGTGGAACTTCCTCCGTGAGGCCACCATCATGGGCCAGTTCAACCACCCGCACATCCTGCACCTGGAAGGCGTGGTCACGAAGAGTACGAGGCGGGGCCCGGCGTGTGTGCGCAGGCGCGGGGCGGGGCTGGTAGGGGGTTCGAGACCCCCAGGCGTGGCGGGGGAGCAGGGCTGTAAGGCAGGCTGTGGGGGTGGGGGTGGGGGTGGGGGTGAGGGTGGTAGCCAGGATGACTTGCTGTGTCTCAGGAAAACCCATCATGATCATCACGGAGTTTATGGAAAACGGAGCCCTGGACGCCTTCCTGCGGGTGAGGAGGGTGAGGAGCAGCTGGGAAGGCGGATGCGCCCCTGGGGTGCCCTGGCCTTTGGCTTCTGGCCCGGGAGGGCAGCCCAGCCCCACACCGGCCCTCTCCCCCTGCTGCAGGAGCGGGAAGACCAGCTGGTCCCTGCCCAGCTGGTGGCCATGCTAAAGGGCATCGCCTCTGGTATGAACTACCTCAGTGACCACAATTATGTGCACCGCGACCTAGCTGCCAGGAACATCTTGGTGAATCAGAACCTGTGCTGCAAGGTGTCTGACTTTGGCCTGACCCGCCTCCTGGACAACTTCGATGGCACCTACGAAACCCAGGTTAGAGCCCTGTGCCGACCACGACCGGCATCGGGTTCTGTCACACACGTAGGACGGGGCTTGGCCTCATGTGGACACCACCCCTACTATCCCCGCCACACAGGGGTTCCCCGCCCCACCCATGCCCTGGAACACATCTCCTTTTGCCCAATACACCCCATCAGGGAGGAAAGATCCCCATCCGCTGGACAGCCCCTGAAGCCATCGCCCACCGGATCTTCACCACGGCCAGCGACGTGTGGAGTTTTGGGATCGTCATGTGGGAGGTGCTGAGCTTTGGGGACAAGCCTTATGGGGAGATGAGCAATCAGGAGGTGAGCCGGGACCCCCGCCCCCCGCTGCCCTAAGCTCCCCTCCCCCCTCCCCAGCTCTCCCCCACAGATGCCCGTCCTTACTCTGCCCAGCCCGGTTTGTCTGTGCTCCTGATTCCCAGTTCTCTTTGGGGTGTCTAGAGGGTCCATGGCACTGGCGTGTGAACCCGTTTCTCGTGGGCTGCCAGGTGAGCTCCTCCCCTCCCTCCGCAGGTCATGAAGAGCATCGAGGACGGGTACCGGCTGCCCCCGCCGGTGGACTGCCCTGCCCCGCTGTATGAGCTCATGAAGACCTGCTGGGCCTACGACCGGGCCCGTCGCCCCCACTTCCACCAGCTGCAGGCACATCTGGACCACTTGCTGGCCAACCCCCACCCCCTGCGGACCATTGCCAACTTTGACCCCAGGTGAGCTCTGGGCGGGGCCGAGGGGTCCAGGAGGCAGACATGGGCAAGTGGAAATGGGCGTCCAGTTTGATAGAAAAAAGCGCAGTGGCCGGAGGCGCATGGAGCATTCGAAAAGAACTAGTTAGAGGTCGCTTCCGGTCACCCACCTTTATGGAAGTCGGTCGCAGCCAGACCCGTTTACCTGGCCTCACCTGGCCTGCGAGCCCCATCCTCTCCCACGTCAGGCTGCATAACCTGGCACCCTCCCAAAGCCACGCATTGTGCCAGCCCCATTGTGCCAACCCCTCTCCTCGGGGAGTTTCAGTGAAATGCACCCGCCCCCCATGAGCCCCCTGCATGTGGAGAACCTTCTGGTTGCTAGCTCTCTGCTGGGTGGCACTGGTCACTCCACTGACACTGGTGATACAGCCAGGCTTATGTCCTGAGACGTAAGGAGCTTGGTCACTTCGCCTGGGGTGGAGGAAGAGATACCAGCGAGCCATGCGCAGAGGACCGCCCGGCGGGGTCGGCTGAGTTGGAGAGCAGGGGCTGGGTGGACTGACTGCAGCGTCCACTGTGGGGTCAGTGGCCAGCCATGAAGCCGGCAGGGTGGCAGGGTAAATGCCGGGAAGACTGGCTCTGCTGAGAGTTTGGACTTTATCCTGAGCACAGAGCACTATTGACCAACTTTTTAGAAACTACCCATGGGAGAGGCATGGTCAGAATTGCCTTTTACCAAAACCACGGACAGAATGTGGAGAATGAACTGGCGGGCCGTGGGGACAGGGGCCGGGCTGTGCTTTATCAGGGAGACCAGCCCTGGCGTGCCGGCCTCTGGATCAAACCACCATATATAACCTTGTTCCTGGGAGAAAATGTGCTGCAAGTTCCAGCTTTTGAAACTATCTTTTGGAGCACAGCTCCCTCGCACACTGGAGACTGAATGTGCTAATCTTTCTGGAATGTTGGATATTTTTCCCCCAGCAGATTTACTTTGCTAATGGTTTTTGGCTCGTGCTGGCTTGAATACAGGAACACTCATTGTATTGTGGGTGTCGGCGAGCAAGAACAACAGGGGGGACTGGAGGTGGCCAGTCAGGGCTGCTCTCTTCTGGAAGCCCAGGGCCACCCCGAGCAGAGGCAGGACTGCACCCCACTCTGCTGCCCCATTCAGCTGGGGTGCTTGGTGCCGCACGGCCGGCCCCACCAGCCGCCCACGCCACCCTCTCCGCGGACATGAGCGGGGTGGACGGACGGCCAGGGGCGTCCGGGCTGCCGCTTCCCCCGGGCCTCTGCAGCAGGCCCGCCGCCTGCCCGGGGCTGGACACACACCAGGAAGCAGGCGGGGAAGCGGGTTCACGGACAACGGCCAGGCGCATCCACGAAGTCCGCCTGATCTCTCTGCCCAGACACCCAGTTTGAACTCTGGCAGCCAGGAAGGCCGAGGACAGCCCCGGCGGCCCCGGGCTGGCTGACGTGTCCCTGTGTCCCCGTGTCCCGCAGGGTGACGCTTCGCCTGCCCAGCCTGAGCGGCTCGGACGGGATCCCCTACCGGAGCGTTCCCGAGTGGCTGGAGTCCATCCGCATGAAGCGCTACATCCTGCACTTCCGCTCGGCCGGGCTGGACACCATGGAGTGTGTGCTGGAGCTGACGGCTGAGTGAGGGCCGGGCCGGGGCCGGGCGGGCGGCGGGTGGAGCCCACGCCCTCCCTGACCCCTTCCTTGCCCACAGGGACCTGGCGCAGATGGGCATCACGCTGCCTGGACACCAGAAGCGCATCCTTTGCAGTATTCAGGGCTTTAAGGACTGAGCCTCCGGCAACACCCGCCGTCTCAGGGAGCAGGCGGGGCCTGTGGTCACTCACGCCCTGGCCCGCAAGCTACCAGCTGTGGGCATCTGGTGCTGCTCTGGCCCCTCCTGCCCGAGGAGCTGGCCCCTGGGGCCAGGGACCCTCTGTTACAAGGGGAGGCCAAGTACAGGTACTGTCGGGAGGGTTTAATATATATACATAAACATATCTATTTTTGTAAATAAACAAGAACTGAGTTGTCACCTTTACCCGATTTTTTTTCCGTTAGCTTGTCGTTGGCCCCTAGGGCCCCGCCGTCCTCGCCAGGAAGGCCATGGCACTTAGAAAGGAGTTGACGACTAAGAATTCTGGAAAATGAGGTTTTTTATTGGTAGCATTAGCCACACCTGGCAGCTCGGGGCAGGTGGGAGCTTGTGGCAGGTCAGCCCAGCCCTGCCCACCGCCCAGAGGGTCAGGGCTGTCTCCCGCCCTCCACAAGCAGAGCTCCAGACTGCTGGGGGCCAGCGAGAACAGAGGTGCAGCAGTGACAGCAGCGGCCCCCTCAGGTGGACGCCTGGAGGACGGTGGGTGGTCTCTGCAGGGCGGTGGGGGCCGGGAAGCAGGCAGGACCTCTGCCTCCCTCACCGGTCCCTGAGGAGCCCGGGGTGGGGTTCGGAATGGAGGAAGGGAGGGGCTGGACGTTCAAAAATAACGGGGGGCGCGGGACAGGTGGAGAGCAGAGTGGGTGGCCGCTAGCAGGCAGGAGCGCTGTGCGGAGGGGCCGCCCCCGCTCAGGCCTGGGCCCGGGCGCCATGGCACTTCCGGCACAGCACGTGGCCGTCCAGCGGGAAGCAGCCATTGTCATCCGCCTCGATGGACAGCGGCTTCCCGCAGTCCTAGGAGGAGAGACAGAAGCACTGGCGGGCGGTTCCCTGTACCCCACAGCCCCTCATCTCTGGGGAGGCCTCTCGTCTGGGTTCCACAGCCACACCCAGCACCCCCCCCCCAGGTTCTCTATTACGCACTGTCATTTCTGTCCTGCAGAAAAGCGGGCAGTAGGTAGAGCTGCTTCAACAGTGCCCACCCCAAAAAGGATGGAGGAGCACCCCATGTGCACTCTGACCTTTCTTCAACCCCACGGGGATCCCCAGTGTCTCCTACCAGAAACTGCAACACCCTCCTTCCCATGGGCCTGCCCCCTTTTCTTGGTTCATCAGTAGCTCAAGGTGACTCCCCGGAAACCCACACCCAAATTTCCTGCGGCCACAGAACCATCTGAGCTGGCCACCACTGCTGACCACCCTCACAGCATCCTCCAGGCCACAACCAC